TTAAACAACACAAATATTATTTATGTATTTAATCCCATTCTATTAACCAATGTCTTTGCTTCTGACCTTCGATGGTCCAGTTCAACCATACTTATAAGCAAAAATTACTCTAGACAAACATTTTATTTATTTTTTTTTATTGCTGAAGTGTTGAAATTTCTTCTTCTGCATTCTACTGTACAAACGTAAATTTACTTTCCCTTCAGCCTGAGGCTTATTCATTTCACTTTTGGTGTGAGAACGCTTTTATATTTGCCAAAAAGGTTTTTATTTTTATTTTTTATTTTTTTATTAAAACAAGCAAGCCGTGTCCAGATTTAACGCAAAAGTAACTTAACGCATTACTTTCCACAAAATGTAACTAAATAACGTAATTAGTTACTTTATGGAGTAACGAAATATTGTAATGCGTTACTTTTAAAAGTAACTTTCCCCAACACTGGTGGTAACACTGGTCTAATGGGTTTGGGAAAATTCCTTGGCCCTATTTTTAGACTGGGAGTTCTGAAGCTCAGTTCTGAAGCTACGCAGGCTTGATTTTCAGATTGCAGCTTTTACTTCTAAATGTATTTGATTTATTTTTGAGCTGATTGGATTTGGTTCTGCTCACTGTTGTGCTTTGAAATATGCTTTTGGTTCTGGAGTGACCTCATACCTGCTTGTTCAAACCAGATTGTTTACTTTATTCAAATACACATAAATGAGCTAAACCAACCAGGTTACTTGAACATTATAAGCGGGTATATAGAGCAGTGATGTATTTTTGTAGGCCTACCCAGAAGTTTTTCCTATTGGCTTTTGGGTTATTGCAGAAAAGCAGCTCTCTGGCCAAAAAAAAAAAAATCTCATGATTTTTGCAAAAAAACAATTTGTGTTTTAGTTTTGAAGCCTAAACCGGCTATAAACTAAGTACACCACAGTTGCATGGCGTCAACCTCACCATTACTAAGCTACCAACAACTCTGAGGTTTAAGAGATTTTCCTTGGAAGTTTGAGTTTGACTAGTTTTGCAAGAGTGCGATTTTTATAAACACAATGAGACCGTGAAAGCAGACTTGAGTAGATGCATTTCTGTTTTTATCATTAAATGATATTTAGATTTTTATCATAAAATATTTAATGTCCCAACTTCTGTAGTCTTATTTAACTACTTGTTAGCAACAGCCTTTTTCAAGACGAGTAAAATTACTACTAAGTTAATGTCGTAGAAAACCTGAAACTATCCAGAGCTTGTTAACCACAGACCTCATTTCAGAGAATTAACCACAAACCTATTAAAAAAAACCTGACTTCAGGACAATGAAACCACAAGTGGTAAAGTGCAAATGCATTTCCTGGTTTTGGCCTACAAAAAATACGTTCTCCATGCAGTGCTTTATTACAGCAAAATCAACTTGCTTTTCCTCCATCTGTAATCAAGTCTGTGATGTAAGGAGCTCAGCTGTCCTTGTGGTGTTGGAGGCACATCTGGTCACAGATTTGATCATTTGGTTGAGTTTTCAAAACTTCATCTCTTGTTCTTGCACAATTAATCTGCCAGTCAAGACTTCATATACATTTTCTCTTACAGTTTGAGGCGGTCAGAGGCCCCTTGGCATGCATGTTGGTCAATCTGTGTTTTAGTCAGCTGTAAATTTCTGTGACCGGAGGCATTACACATTTGCTGTCACTAAGCTACAACAGATGGCAGAGTCAGACCCTGTAAATTTGATGATAAGCTCTGACTTGTTGCTATATATATATATATATATATATATAAAATGTTCTGTTAAGATTAATGAAATGGCTCTATTTGAATGTAACTGTGAAAATAGCACCATATGAACTGAATTAGTTAGATCAGCTGTCATCAGTATCATAGACTGTCCTATGCTCTTCTATAACTGTCTGGATTCAATAAACAAGTGGTTTGAATTATCATACTAAAAATTAATATAAGCTTATGATTAAAAGAAAATATAAAAATGTGCAAAATACATTTCAAACATACGATTCACCATTTTGTAAATGCATGTTAGATTAATTGACTGATGTTTTAACAATGTCATAAGTGCACCTTCTCTGACAAGGTTTCTGCAGGTTTTATGAAGATAAATGTAAAGCTTTCAGTGAATTTTAAGACCAGTTAAAGAAAATGTAAGGAATAAATTGAAAGGAATACATCGATTAGCTCTCTAAATGTAAGGGGGCACACATTGTGTTGTATTAGCAACACTTTAACTCAAAGATTGAAAGTTCCAACAGATCTGTATTAGCCTACTTTTGAATTCATTTCACAAAAAAAAACAAGTTTTCTGAGAAGCTGATCAAAATGACGTGTTTGATTAAAACGAAATCATTGGGGGCCCAGAAAAATCAACAATTCAAAGGGGATATTTTCATACCCCACTGACAGATACAAAAACTCACTTGTGAACAATTTCTGAGAAGTCCATTTTTTCAGTAAATAATCTAGTAATGTATCTAGTAAAGTAAATATATCTTAATTTAACATACTTGTACTGGAGAACAAGACACATATGTATTTTTTGCAGTCAATGCACCATTTAATGCCATGACTTTATGGATTTAAGACTTTCTGAATCAACTTAAGAGGATCTGTCCTAGGTCCTCTGCTATTTTCAATATACATGTTGCCCCTTGGTAATATTATTTGAAAATACGGGATTAGTTTCCATTGTTATGATGATGATATACTCAACTATATATCTCAACAAGACCAGATGATACTTCTAAATTATCTAAACTAACAGAGTGTTAAAAATGTAAAAGATTGAATGACCAATAATTTTCTCCTATTAAATTTGGATAAGATGGAGATATAAATTTTTTGACCAAAAAACAGTACACAGAATCTCTTGGATTACAATTTGCAACTAGACGGATGTACTGTTACTTCCTCTACAGTCAAAAATCTGGGTGTTATATTAGACAGCAACTTGTCTTTTGAAAATCATATTTCCCATGTTACAAAAACAGCATTTTTCCATCTTAGAAACATTGCCAAGCTAC